CCCCAAAACCCCAAAACCCCAAAACCCCAAAACCCCTTTATTAGGCCAAGCTATTGAAATTATTTCTTTGATGATTATATTCCGCTGACATCTATTCCTTTAGATTTTAGTATTTTCTTCAAATCAAATATCTTTCTCTGATATGAATGAGTGCTTGTAGAGAGATGCTCCTGAAGGGTTTTCAGCTGTGTTTCAGCATTTGTAGCTCTAGCTAACAACTCTGACCTTTCTCTCTCGAGTTTGCCTAGCTCTTTCTCCAAGTGGAAGATTTTTGTTTTCATGTATTTTACATTTCCAGATTGAGGACCTCCTGATTCTTTGCCTATGAAGTTCTGAAGCTTCAAATTTTCTTTATAAAGATTATCTCTTTCTTTTCTTAGCTTTTCAACTTCAATCGAGGCTGTTCCTGGCTTCTTGAGAACATCTGGATTTCCTTTTAAGAATTCTAATTCTCTTAAAATTTGTGCTTGCATTGCTCCACCAGATTCGTGAGAAGCAGGTAAATGCTTCATTTTCGCACTAGTATCTCCAGCTTTTCTTACTTCATCTTCAAGATTTCTATTTTTAAGTTTTAGTCTATCAATTTCTGATTGTTGCTGCTTCACAAATTCATTATCATCCTCATCATCTAAGATCACTGGTGGAGGAAGAGTTAATACTTCTGGTAAGGGTTGCCCTATTGGAGCCCAGTCCTCAGCTAAGTACTTCAGTGACCGAGCATAATTCTTTAAAGCTCTTAATTGTTTGTATTTCTCATCAATTCTCTTTGATTCTTTATCCAGTCTCTGAGATAACTCAACCTCTTTTTCAGTGTAGGATCTGATCAGCTCTTCTTTTGCTTTCCAGGTTGTAGCGGAAGAATCTGGATTATTTTCATTCATATATTTAGTCAACTTGTTTCTAAATGCAGACCTCATTTCTTCAACTTGAAGGGTCAGTCTGTTCTTGTCGCTCTTTAACTCAATGTTTTGTTCTTCAAGGAGTCTGAGATCATCAGTTAACTCCTCAATCTTTCTATTAAGTTGCTTGATTTTCTTCTGGTAGTCAATTCTTTCTCCATCCCAGAGTTCTTTTTCTAGAGCATTTTTCTTGGCATAGTTTTTATCTTCGACCTTTATAGAATCCATTTCGTGAAGGTTTTGCTTGCTCATCTGGATGAACTCTTTTTCTAACTCCATTTTTCTGTTTTCATAGTCTTGTTGGTTCTGTTGGCCAGCGATATCCGCTCTTACAAGTTCACTCTTAAGTCTTTCGATTTCTCCTTGGGCGACTACTAAGGCTTCTCTCTTGTCGTACAGATCGCTTTCGAGTTTTTCTACCTTCCTCAAGAGTTTATGATGCTCAGTAGAGATATCACTTTGCTTAAGATTGACCTTATTAGAATCATCTTGGAGAGCTTTATTCTCATTCACAAGATTAATGAGCTCGAGACCAAGATTATCGTTCTTTGCTTTTTCAGAATCAACTTCAGTTTGGAGGTTGATGAAGTTCTTTTTGAGAGCAACAAATTCAATTTCGATTTCTCTCTTTTCGTCTAAGGAATCTCTTAGTTTATCTTGGAGATCTTGGATAGCTTCAGCAGCTCTTTCTTCTTTAATATTAGACTCAAGTACATCATTCTCTGCATGAAGAAGTTTCGAATTATTGTCAAATTTTTCGTTTTGGATGATCTCTTGAAGCTTAGTGTTTTCAATCTGAAGCTCTACTAGTGCTTTTGAGACCTTTAATTTCTCTTCTTCAGATTTGATTAACTCTCCTTGAAGATCTGCCTTTGATTTGACAATATCATTAAAATTTTAGTTTCATTTCTTGCATTTTACTGACAAGTCTAGATTTTTCATCTGCCATTTTCATTTTCTCAAGATTCTCTTCGATAAGTTTCTTTTCAAGCTCTGCAATCTTGAGGTTGTAGTTATCTGCGTTATCTCCAGGAAGCATGTTCACCTGGTTTTGCAGCTGGATCAGCTCAATTCGGTACTTTCTAAGTATTCCGAGCACACGTTGATCGTTAATGGTTGGGAAATTTGAAATTGCTTGGCATTTTCTAAAGCTACGTAAGGTCACTTGTGAACCTATCGGATCTCCATACTGTAAGTTGAAGAGCCCTATAGTGATAGAGTTTCCTCCAAAAGTATCTTTAAGAAGTTGAGTTACAACAGAGCCGTCATAATAAATGAAATCACCAGTCCTGTTTTTAGATAAATCTGTCATCAGAGTATTTAAGGCAAGCATTGACTTGTTCAGAGAAGTTCCTTCTCTTAGTCTTAAGGCTTCTGGGTCTTCAGTAAGAACTTCACATCCAGGGAGATCGATGATATGAATTTTAGAAACTGAAACATTCGTATCATTTGAAGAAGGATTTTCAGTAACTTGGGTGATCTCCATTGAAAAAATTGCAGTTGCTTTATCAGATAATTTACCGAACTCATTCGATCTTGTTGTTCTATTCTTACATCCGCTCACAAAGTAATCTGCTATTTGATGTTGGTTTGACATTGGAATCCAAGGTACTCCGTTAACAGTTGGGCCCTCCCACTCATTCATTACAACATTTAGTGTATGATGCCCATATGCACCAGTTGGTTGTAGTAAATCAAAGACTTCTTCATCAACAATCTCTACAAATCTAGCTTTAATAGAGAAAGAGAAGTTTGTTCCACTAGCATCAGGATGTGCTCCACTTTGTCTATATCTCTTATCTTCGAGAATAGTGAAGGCGTTATCAGCAATCAATGATATTATTCCTGGGTCTGTCTGATTACCTTCTAACGCATGAGTTTTACCACTCCCAGTTGACCCAAATGTGAAGACAGAAACATTGACTCCTTCAGTAAAGGCTCTTAGGTAGGGGCCGAAGGAGGTATCAAAGATCTGACTCATTGTTTGTTCTGGAGTATAGATTTCATTACAATCAAATTCTTCTTTAACTCTATTGTTGACGTCTAAGATGCTGACTCTATTCCCATCAATTCGGATGTCTTCCTTTTGGTATCCAATGCTTGGCTTGATACGCACAAGGCATTGGATAGGAACTCCTTTGATGAGAGTGTCCAGCTCATTCGATGAGCTTGCTAGTTCCATTATATATTATACCAATATATTATTCCGAATAAGGGGTTTTGGGGTTTTGGGGTTTTGGGGTTTTGGGGTTTTGGGG